GTTTATTGAACATTCAGAAACTACAGTGGGTCTAATGAGCCACAGCAAAGGTAAACAAAGGTAAAACAACCCGAACAGACGATCAACTCAAAACCACTCCTACCCCCTCTCTCTGTCTCTCTCTCTCGTTTAAGCACACCCGTTGCCGTGGCAACCGCCTGCGCACCACAAGCCGAGCAAAGATTACATTAAAAACACAACATTCAGTCTGTTACGATGTCAGGTTTCCAGGCTTGATATTTATTTCTTGATTGTTAATAAGCCTCTCATGAACACAGCGGTGGTTGAGTAGCTAATTTTAAAGTCCTGCTCTGCTCGTCAGTCGGTCTTTGAGTCGCCTTTTTTTTCATTTTGTTAATGGGACCGAAACGCACTGAATTGCGCAACACCTTGTTCAAACAATAATTACTGAGATTATTAATTTTAACACATCTAGTTGATTTTTTAAAAATAATTATTCTTTTTTAATGAAGATACAAACGTTTAGGATCTTAGTGAATATTTTTGATAAGCCAATCAGAAGAGGAAGTGCTGGTCTCAGCCTGGCGGCGTTCAGTTTGTCATCTGCCGAGATCGACTCAAAACCTTTCTGCGATCGACGTATTGGGCACCCCTGAACTAGGCCATCAAAATTATACAGGCTGTGAGACGCATTGTTCTTAATCTTATGATTATTTATATGCCTGGTAGATTTAGATCTAAAATTATTTCAATTTGACCAACAAGTATTTTTTTGATTCAACAAAATGAGGTGCATCTTAAAAGATCTTGAGAGAATGCAAAAGGAAAAATACATTTCTAAAAAAAAGTGTCTATGTGCTTTCATTTAAATTTTATTAAATAATTACATGAGGTTCTACATTTAAGTAAATTCTCAAGGACCAACTAAACACATTTCTGTTGATTCTGCTGAAATTCTGCATGTCAGCCCAAACCAGCCGATACCGACCAGACTGCAGGTCACACAAGCTGCATTTCTGTGGCAAATGTCCACAAAGCTTTGTCAATATTCCACTAATGTTAATTACACACAATTTCTCAATTGTGGTGTTTCCATTAAATAAGAAATGGACATGTGAATAAGTTTATTCACATGATGAGTCATTAAGGAACATGCCTACTACTTCCTGTCTTCTGGTTCTTTGTGGCAACATTCGGTTGTTGATCTTGTCAATTATGATGCAAAAACAATGTTTCCATTGCAATTTTGTGAAATAAACCTCCTCACTCACTTGGCAAAACCTTTTTATCAAAAAACAAGTTTTTTTTCAGAATTGCTGTGTTTCCATTAAGCAAATTTATTTTAGAAATGTCAAATTGTGCAATTATATGGTCAATGGAAATGCAGCCTATGTTATGGACACACTAAGTCAGGTTTCTAAGCTCAGTGTTTTTCTTGCTGAACAGACAGTAGCTGCATTTCCATTGACCATATAATTGAGCAATTTATTTATTTTTTATTTCGAACAGACAGAAAAGACAATCAAAAAAGAAAAAATCCCAAAATAAAATAGAATGAAACAAACTTAAGAAATAAAAGGTAAAACAAATTATTTTGCCCGAGTGTCATGCAAATTTTATATTTTCTGTTCGAAAAGGAGCAGGTATAAGATACAATATTTTATAATGTCCTGCCTCTTTCATACTTATCAATTTATAATCAATTAACTGTCAGAACATCAAAAAGAGACAACTTGTTTCTACTTTACATTATATTTAAATATGTACAATTATTTAAACACTATTTATATAATCAATAGCATTTATGGACTATAAAACAGTAATCTTATATGACATATTTTGAAATAAACTCCATTTTAATCAGTTTTTTAAGCTGGTTTATATTTGTACTTGTTTTGAACTCATCATTCAATCCATTCCAGACATTTACTCCACGCACCGATAAACAAAAACTCTTCCTTAAATTTGACATTTCAAAAATAAATTTGCTTAATGAAAACAAGCCAATTTTGAAAAAACTCTTGTTTTTGAATAAAGAAAAATGTTTGCTCTAGGATGAGGTGATTCTTTTGGCTGTATCAAAATTGGTTTATTTCACAAAACTACAATGGACACACATTTTTGCATCACACGAGTCACATGATGACGATCAACAGCGAGATTTTGCTACTGGCAAAAACCACAAAGAAGAAGACAGGAAGTAGTTTGAGGATCATGTTTCTAAGTGACCTATGTGTACAAATTTATTCAAACTGATTTTAATTCTGTTTCTTATTTAATGATTGTGAAACTGTGGGGTTTTTTTTTTACATTAGAGGAATACTGACAAACTTTTGTTTTGCTTGTTTGTAATAGAAATGACAGTGAAAGGTTTTCCCAAAGAGTGTTTTCTGTGTTTTGCTCGTTGGTGTGCTCATCTTTGTCCTTCCCCCTCCCTCCATTTCCCTCAAAGCTGAGTTCCAGAGTCCAGGCTGAGGAGTCGGAGACGGCAGCCTGGCCCAGCCTGCCCAGCGTCAGGCTAAGTGCCTCTGACAGCCCACCACACAGTTATTAACTGTGATCCCCCTCTACCGGGCCTGAAAAAGGGTCCACCAGAGGGCTCGGCTCCAAACACAAAGACCGCTTTCACCTTTGCATACCTTCCTGACCCCTCAGCACTCACTAATACATATTTACATGATTTCATATATGAATCACACACTTTTAGCTGCCCTGCTAACATTTCCTCTCCCTGCTGGGAAGAATTTGATGCTTTCATAAGAACATCTGTGAAGGTGTTGCCGTCACGAAGTGTGTGCACACACCACTGCTGCTCATACCTTCAGTCTCCGTGTCCCCTTATGGAATGTCGTCCCCATTGCTCGTGGCTTTTATCCATATAGGTGGTCTGCTGTGCTGTTTGTCCCGCGCTCGGCCTCCTGCGTCCCCAGCCACCCCTTCTCCTCCTCACAGGATGTGGGCGACCGGGGAGCCATCAAACAACAACACAACATGGGTCATTAGAAGGCAAAATTGGGAGAGAAATAAATAAATGCTGGAGCAGAAAGGGGGAGGACGGATGAGGGAGAGAGAGTGAGATCCATAATGACAACTGACTAAGTTTAGCCACAGAAAGGCTCTGAGATAAACAGCAGCTCGTCCAGGCTAACCGGAGGACTGCGAGTCGCTGCGACGAAAACCCCCAAAACCTGTTTTTTTTTTTTTTTTTTTGCCCCCATTGGCCATAATGACAGTACCACCATTCAGTTGTTGAATATTTGAGGCCGTTCCCTTTGAGGTGACTGGCTTTAATATAGAAAGAGGACAGACACAGCGGAGCGGCGGACGTCCCCAGCAATGTTCAAAGCTGCGGCGGGACAATGATACGGCTGACATGCATTATTCCCTACAAAAGCTGCCCTTTGTTTGCTTTATGCCCAGATCCCACAAATTGTAAGCTTCGTCCATCAGCGTGTTTTATTTCAGTCACAATCTGTCCTCGTTTTTTTTTCCTGTCCTTTACTGACCTTGGCATTTATTGATGTGACAAACACACTGAAAACCCCGTTTCGGTTCCTCTTTGCGGAAGCCTAGCTGTGACCTGTTAGAACAGCTGGAAGGATAAAAACTCCAGTAAGGTCAGACCAGTCTGGGAACAGCTCTCTGCCTCTCAGGCCTCATTCTAAGGGCTCAGATTATCCTCAACTATCACTGTAGTGAACTGCTTCAGGCTTTGGCCACTGGAGGACAAACTGGCCACTTTTCCTAAAGTTCTTCTCCTACTGTTCTCCAACTTCGTTTTTTTTTCTTTTGCTGTTATTTCAAACGTTAACTTTTGTTTTTTCCTGGTGTTGTGTTTGGCTGTGGTTCCCTCCAGGAGGAGGACATCAGTGGAGCTAATGCTGCCATCAACTAACCCTTCTCCCTCTCCTGCTGTTATTTTTATTTATTTAGTAGGAACAATGCATATCAACTGACATTTCTGGATTAGCTAAATAGCCAATGGTTATTTTTCAGCTGTTGTCCCTGAACATTGTCTTTTGTGTCTAGTTATTGTTTGTTACTCTAGTTTAGTTTAGTTATTCTTTAATGTTGTATTAATTTCCTAGTCCCCAATATACTCTCCCTCGCCCTCCCGTGTCACTTTTTCTCTCTCTCCCTTCACACCTGCAACCCGTTAGCTCATCAGTCAGGTCATCTGTCCTACATTCACTCTCCCACCTTATACACACTTCCTCTGCTGTCACTCCTGGTTGGATCCTCCTTTAAATCCCATCACTTCCCACTTTCATCCTGCTGGCTTTTTATTCCCAGTTCCTGTTTGTTTGTTTTTGTTGCTCTCTGGCTCCCTGCCTTCCCTGTGATTTTTTGTATTTTTTGATCCTTCAGTTTGAATTAAAACTGCAAAAAGAACTCCACATCTTCGCCTGCTGCTTTGGGTCCTTCAACCAATCTACACATCTTTCTCAAAACAGGTTAAAAACTATAGAAAACATGATGTTTTTTTCCCCCCCATGTGAAATAATCTACCAGTGGAACTAGTACATTTTACTAATGTTCAAGAATTATTGACATAAAATGAACTCATATATCTTGCTGGTAAGTTACAAGAAAGCTTTGCCCTATTTTAGCATATTAAGATATTTATACTATAGCCAGATGAAAATACTTGATAGAATGTAGCATTTTTTCCAGTGTACACCAGCTGCACCATCACTTCGGTTTGTGTGCGGTATAGTGCTCCTTTGCTTGACTTTCTTCAAAATGTTTATTTCCCTGCCCATCACCACAGCCTTCTTGCAAGTGGAAAATGCAGGAAAAAATTTAAAAAGAGAAATCCAAGAACTGTCAATCCAGGAACTTTGCCTTTTGGCTCAGCTCCTTCTTTGCCAGAACAGATTGAAGCATCACCCTCATTGCTGCCACTGATGAAGAGGAAACTGTCTACAGTGGCTGAAACTTGTGAATAATTGTCACTACAGAATGTTGAACGTCAGGCTGCTGTAGCCTTTCCCAAATATATTACATTATATTTCATTCAGTGTGACTTTTCCATAGTAAATGGGAATGCAACTGTTTTTGTGGAAAGTGATAATTCTCTTAATCTGCCAAATGTTCCAAGGATCAGTTTTCAAACAATCAATTTTAAATTGCAATCTGAATGACTGATTCTCTGTTAAAGCTGAAAAATGTAACTTTTATAAAAGAAGAAAAAAAAGTTTTACATATTTGTTAAAATGACCACCATGTCATGACAGTATTTAGACAATCTGTGGAAAAGATTGAGTTACGTTGGCTTCTCCCAGTGCTCCCAGTACAAACTGCAGAAATACACCACTCAGTCAGAAACAACCAATCAGAGACGGGAAGAGGGTCTTAGCGCTGTCAATCACTCTCGTGCTCACCCGCTCCCCGGTGCTCTCTGTTACGCTACAGCTCGTTCACCACAACATAGCCTGCCACCAATGCTAACGCTAGTTAGCATAGCCACTGATGATAGTGTAAAATCAGTTTTCCTGAAACGGTGAGTTGTTTCTCTGCCGTTAGCATATTTAGCACCATTGATTGATAGCACTAAGCCCCGCCTCCTGGCTCTGGTTGTTTTTGGTCAGTGCATTTCTTCAGACAATAGCATCATACACAGGAGGAGCAGCTATTCACAGATGATCTGTCTCATATCATGGTGACAGTTTTAACAAATAAGGGGGAAAAAAAACATATTTCTGTAAAATATGTTTTTTAATGCAGCTTTAAAGTCTAAAAGTGCAAAAGAAAGATGACTCAATATTTTACGGCTCCGTGTCCCCATGGGAACCATTTGCCTGTTTTCTGTATTACTTCCATATCCTTTCATCAATGCCTAAGAAGTTTCTCATTACGTTTTTAAACGCTGTCAGAGCGCCGTCATATTCGGGAAACGACTAACAGTTTTCTGCTTTGAGTAATGCCCCTTCAGAGAGGTCAGGCACCATTAACCGAGCACACCGCCAGAGTCAGAGCAGGTCAAAACACCCCATGGCGCCAGCGCACACACACACACACGCACACACACACACACACACACACACGCACACAGAGCTGATTGCTCAATTAGTGCTCCTTTAGCTGGTGCCTCTCTTAACCCCACAGCTACGCTTACAGGTCATTACATTCAGGGTCAAGTGTGATCCTTGTGCTTAACTGCGTCAACAACTGGCAAGTGCAGCCGCGTGCATATTTTACAAACAGACCTCTGTGAGGAATAAGAAGTGATTTACGGACGGATGCGATCAGAGAGGCAATGCTGCCCCCTTGTGCTCTACACTTTGCAATTACGCATGGTTGAAAGATATTTGTGGGTGGTTGGTAAATCCCTGACCTAACTTACTCAGGCCTACTCTCCGAGAAGCACATCTGAGAGTGGGTCACACACATTTACCTCATGTAACAGATTCCTTACAGCGCCGTGCAAAGACGTTCACTCGAGTATTGGCTGTTTGTATAGTTTTTGCATGTTAAAACTAGAAACTCACTGTTGGGATTCAAGGTGAAAGACTAAACAAAACACAGGCATGACGGTGCATGAGGGTCAATGTAAATAGAAAAAATATGGAGGAGTGAATTTCCACCCAAAAAAATCTCAGAAATTGAAAAATAAAATGAAAGTNTGAANGTTGAAAATTTGCTAGAAAAATGTCTATTTTTTGATTTATTTATAATCCATTTATATTTACTTGAAATTTTCAAACTCTCTCTTCCTACATATTTTTTCTTCATTCTTTTCACAGTGACCACACTTTCTGGTATTATGCGTTTTGTATTGTAAAAAGGGTATAATTAAGTCTTGATCTTGTAATTAATTATTAATATTTCCTCCTTTCCATTTCTTCTTCCAGTTCTCCTTTCTACAGAGCTTGTTTGGTGGCATGGGAGAAAAAAAAATACCGTGGCCGCGACTTAATAACTCGTGAGAACGACTTGTTTAATTTGTGGGAAAGACTTAATTATACCAAGCCATGGGCATGGCTTGTTTTTTTTTCCAACCATGTCACCAGACGTGGGCGAATATTTCATGTAATTGTTTCGTACTTGTCTCCTCCGTCTGAATTTTATAAAACCATCTTCCTTTGCTTCTTTCATCACACCTTGTTTTGGCCATTCTTTCATCAGTTTTTTTGATAATACTCTTTCTTTTGGGTTTGCTTGGTTTTACCATGAAGCTAACAGGATTTTGAATTGCCGTCTTTGACATCTTCTCTGACATATTGTTTCCTTTAACTCCAACATGTGCAGCTGGGCAAATATTAGTGTTAGACAAATGTTTTGTATTCTAAATAATGTATGCAATATTTCAAGTAAAATGTCTGGCCTACTATCAGAGTAATTATGTTTTAAAGTTAATTATAGCGTTTGAATCTGTGATTTCATATCTTCTGTGTTGTTGAACCGCCAACATCTTGCCTGCTCACACCAACAATCCATCTGTGATTCCTTGCTCTATTTTTAAGTTTAATTCCAGTTCTGCTATGCAATACCCTCTTCTTTCCGAGTCAAAGGGTTTTTGATAAAATGACAAGTCTGGTTTGCATCCTGCACATCACCCCACGACAGTAAAATCAACCAGATAAAAGTGACATTGGGTTGCTTCAGCGTCCGTCGTAGCAGAGGGGGACGCTTTCTGAAACGTGCAAAGGCTCAGTTGGAAAAAGACAGCCTGTGATTGTAATGTGTCAAAAACATGCAAACAGGTCTGAATGCTTTTGCACAGCATTTTAAGTCTTATGGCCAACTTACAGGGTGTGAAATGTGTTGGAGGAAGCAAAGGGGATTTCTTTTTTTCTTCTAGGGAAGCGTCTTTAATAAAGGATCAGTCTGAGGCGCACTGTGAGCAGCCTGGGGTTGGACGTCTTATGAATGCCTAACTGAGCAGAGGCATCCAGCTGTAGTGGGCTGACGCTAAGTGGTTTTATTAGCTGGAGAGTTGAGCTGCGAGGTAGAACAGCTGTTTACAAAGCTCCTCTGTTCCTCTGCGGAGCTTCTTCTCCCTGAAAAAGACGGTGCAGTGGGGCTGAGGAGGAAACTCCCTTTACCACAGCCCTGCTATCTCTGTGGGAGTTCATTATACACACAGACTGGCCACACACACGGATGCACACACAAACTCATTCATGAGCTGTGTGAGATTATTGCACATTCACAAACACTGGTGGGCAGATGTGCATTTTACCGCACCGTAAACTAACCACAGTGATTATTTCTGTGGACATCCCCCTTCCCCACCCATCCACACAGGCTCCCCCGGCAGCCTTCCACCCACAACGCATCCACCCACGAGGTCTGGGTGTGGATGTTAAAGGTTGAGGCAAGGAGCACCCACATGGCAGACATTACTATAAGGAAAGCCACAGAGGAGTCAAAGGGTCAGATGATGGCAGGGGTAACACCGCTGTCACTTAGACCTCACACACAAGAGCTCCATCACTACACATTTTACTGCTTAGTGGACAAATTAATTCTCTGGTTCAGGGCATTTTTTGTGATCTTGTTGCAGTTGGAATCCTTTTCCAAATGCAACAAGGTGTTTCACTAGGCTCAGGTTTAAATTCCATGATTTTATTTATTTATACTTGTTGTAATGAGTAAACAATTTATGGTCATGTTCGAAGCTATGCTGATGATACACAGTTCTATGTTGCATTGGTCCACTTTTTGACCAAATTTCAAATACTTGGGTATGGATAGTTTAGATTTTTCTTCAGCTCAATCTGGACTAAACTAAAAAAAAAAAAAATCAAAATTGGTATAGAAGTACGAGAGAAAGACTTTAAACATTAAAATTAATTAAAATATTAAGGTGTTTTATTTGGAACTAATCTCAGTTTAATGTCAGATTAAAAATCCTAGCCAAATAGTCCAGAACAACTTAAAAATAAATTAAACTCCAAGGTCTATGTCAAGACACACTAGTGCTCACCATCCACTATCACTGTCTGTGGCTGCTGTCCAATAGCTTGCCACCATCAGCATGTGAATGTGTATGTGAATGACTGATGGTAGTGTGAAGTGCTTTGAAGTCCTCTGGACTTGATAAAGTGCTATACAAGTACAGGCCATTTACCATCAATCAGTATTTGAGCCAAAGTGGAATTCATGGTGGACGACTTTGTTGAAAGCAAAGCATAAAAATCCAAGACCGGAATTTACCACAATGCATGTCGAAAAGCCACAAAGCTTCTGGGAGAATGTACTATAAGACAGATGAGTCAGAACTGGAGCCTCTTTGGCAAGGCTCTTTGTTCACAGATGCAAAATGAAGCAGACCGAAAACAGAACACCATCTGTACGTATAGAGGAGGCGTGATTCTGTTCTGGAGTTGCTTTACTGCATCTGGTAGAGCGACTTGAACAGTGAGCAGAAACCGAACCCGGTACGATGATTTCTCAAGACTATCAAGGCATTCTGGAGAGAAATGTGCTAGTGTCAGAATGCTTGGTC